ACTCAGTGGGTGTATCTCTTTTTCCAAAATTCTACTTTGACTTTGCTCTTCACCACCATCTACATTCAGCTGCTACTCCTCCTTGGTATTTAATGCACAGATACCACTACAGTCACTGGCTAATGTATCTCCTGGACAATCATCATGTCATGATGACACATACCATGGAAACTTCAAATTCCCTGCTCCGTATCATGAAGAAAATTTTTTAAATGCCCCACTTCTCTTGTACTTTAATTTCACATACCCAAAATATCTCCCCTTCAACTTCATCGTTCCAAACAGATTAGTCTGTCTTCTGTAAGAGTGGTAAAAAGTTATTTCTACTCCAGGCAGACGCACAGCATAAGAAGTTGCTAATAATTATTAGCTATAATGGAAAAGCACCGACCACAGTTAGTGCAGGTGTCAGGTTCAGTTCCGTTTACATGTCAAAGGAACAATAAATGACACGGGCCCTTTTCCTTAGCAGTTAATATTAAGAGCAGCAAAAGTACTTTTGCTTTTTTAAAAGACTATGACTTCACTATTTATTATGTAAGTTATTCTTACTTTAATCAAAGTAAGGACAACAAGCATCTTCAGCAGGTATGCAATTCACATTATCCACGGATTTAATCTACTTGGTATTTTTTTGTGAGCAGGACACGTGTTAAAATTTTACCTTCAATTTGCTTTGAGGTGCTTGATGAATCCACATTGTTCTAAAGGAGTTAGGACTTCAGAACACTCGCCAATATAAGAACATAAAACAGTTCAAGACTAAGAAAATTTGTGTTCCCTTAATAATTAAACTCCTAGTTAAGCTCTTCAAAGCTAATAAAAATATGACATTTTGCTTCAAAAGCAGAGTATAATTACATTGCTTCCTGAAGCTAAGAAGAAAATCAGAACCTGAGAGAAGTGGTCATATATTTTCAGAATTTATACACTCTGATGTCAAAGTTAAATATCCAAATCATACTGCAAAGCATACGTACATTTATAGATGTACTCAACAGCTAAAAAAAATTTACAAATTATCATGGGTTGGCTGGTTCTGTCACGGAAATAATATCTGCAACAGATCAGCTACCTCACCATTAGGCAGTTACGCACACTAAGAGGCTCAGAAGGAAAGGATTTTAGTGATTACACTGAAAAGATGGCAGAGTTCTATCGGACAAGTGAACTTCAGGAAAGGTATCACGTCCTGTGCCTGACTGATGCGAGAGTAGTCACCAGCAGAGAAAGCGAAGCAAACTTCTGGAGTCAGAAAAATCCAGAGAGAAACTGAGTGCTTATTCTCAAGACTGTGAAAACTCAGCAGGGTGTTCCTTCCTTTTGGAGTAGGTTTCCTTTGGAACTCCTGTTTAGGTTTACTGCTTGTACTAAACTGACGTCCACCAGAGTGCTGATTAATGAAAGCAATACAAAAGATCTGTAAAGTTCAAGTAAACAGTTCCATGAAAGGCCAATACATTGCTGCAATAATCTGCTCAGCCATACTGAACGTTAAGAATTTGACTTTGTGAGTAAGTGTTTACACAGAAGAAGTTTCCCTGTAAACCACAGAACACATACATACATTTGTTAAAACTTACAGTTTGCTCTCAGCGAGTGTTAGCTTATCTTTCAATAACTGAATTTCGGAATCTTTCTCATGGGATGTTAAATGGTTCTGAAATTCTTTGTCTCTACTGGTAGCCAGCAACGTTTCAAGATTCTGAACTGTAAGTCTCTCGCTGGATAACTGCTTTTTCAGCAACTCTGCTTCTGATTTTATATCGTCTAATTCACCTAGAACCTAGGGCACAAATTTTATACATTATTAATACATTGGTTTAAAAACACAGAGTTCTCTTTCATGAAGAGTTGTTATAAAGACTGAAATGATTGGAAGTTTCATAAAAGTGAACAGGAAACAGAGCTCAGAAAACAAACTAAAGCCTACAATTATTTATACTTAGTTAAAAACTAATAAAGCTGTGCATCTACCACAAATAGATCTGTCAAAATCACAAATCATCTGTCAAATGTTGTACTGGGAGCTCAATTACCGAGTGCTGGAAATGCTTAGGTCAGCATCTGGAACACTAATTGGCTTTTAACAGCAGTAGGCTTACGTACAAGTAGAAAAATAGTATTTATTCTACTTCATTCTGTTCAACTAGGTAAGCTCACAAATAGCTTCTTGGCTTTTGCTGAAAAAGCTTAGAATGTAGAAATGCTTGTTTTCCTCATCAGTTCTATAAATATAAACAAATTCTGTGGGGATGAGAACTACTGTTCCAAACATCTTGAATATTTCAGTAACAGAAAGCATTGACCAAGTCACTACATAAAGACACAACAATCTGTAAAGAAAAATGTTCAGAAATTATGGATATTTAGAACTGTTTAAAATATGTCAAAACATTTAATGAACTTCAGCTGAACCTAAATTTTCAATTTAATTAAAAAAATCCATTAGGGAAAAGCCTTTAATATCTAAATAAGAAGTGCACTATTCACTTTTTATAAAAGTTGAGAATTTGAGTACATTAAACGGTACATAAACCCAAACAAATATAATTTGCCTCTGTGGTATAGCAAAAACTACTGCTGCCACATTTTGTACTGATAATGAATGAAAGAAACATAGATCTGTATACAGCAAAATTTATAATTTAACTATAAATGCAAAACGAATGATGTAAATTAACTCACCTTGCTCTCAGAAGTAATTGATTCTTTTCTCCAAAAACCATTAAAAGCAAATGAAGATACTTTATTATAGCAACCTTTGCTGCTTACCCTTTCATAATCCATGCTTTTGGATGTCAGTTGTCGAGATAAAAGTTCTTTGTTGGACTCAAGTTTCACACAGAGTTCCCTCACAGAGGCCAGGTCTGCCAACAGAGAAGACTTATCCTGATTTTCACGCTTAACATCCTCTTCCAACTTGGACATATTTTTTGTAATGGAGGAGATCTGAGATTCATATGCTTGATGTGCAACGATATGCTAAACAAAGACAAATATGGATACCCCTTCAGTGTTAAAGGTTGAGTTAACAGTTCTCTGTTGGATAACAGGGGTTTTTTAATACTTTCTTTTCCCTTCAAAATTAACTTTTCCTATAAAATTAACTTTATATTACATTCCTTTCCTCTCTTCTCCCTAAACCACAGCTAAGAAAACTACTAAACCGTCTCTGCAATTTTTAATTACCATCTTGAAGAATTATACAAATACTATACAAGCATGGAATGAGGGTGGATTCCAGCTTCAGGAGAGAATTAAAAGCTTAAACCCCCAAAATACAAACTATTTTTTACTCAGCTCATATTACAGTCTCTAACTCTTTTTGGCTAATTAAAAGCAAGAGACAAAATATGGTCAATCCACAAACTTCCTTGATCTCCATGAAGTTACTGCTTCTAAAATATAAACCTCATTACTTTCTGTGCTAGGTTTGGGCTAGATTTTGGTATTACGGAATCCTGACTCTGGATTTGGACTACTACCAGATTTTTACCTTTACTCCAGCCACCAATGCTTCAAATACTTCATTCGAAGCTTCAGAGAAATGTAAACTTAAAAAACACTCACAAAGCTAACTGACGAAACACTTACAAAGCTATATGCAAATATTTTGAAGCAACTAAAGAAAAGGTTCTTACAGAGACAATAACATAATAGCAGCAATCATCCAACAGAAGAGATCTAAAAGTATTAAAACATACACTGTGATTTTAAGTTTGGGAAAGCAGGGAAGGGAGAAGGAAAGTATGTCTAACCAAAATCAGTTACTGTTTCAAAAACTCAAGTGGCCACATTTGAAACATTCATGTATAGGAATTATTTTCCATTAAAGCATTAAAAATAGTATGTTGACTTTATTAAAAAACACCTGTATCACACTTTCCTTGACAGAATTTCATTGCACAAGTTATTACCCCTTCAATCTCTTTTTCCAGAAGTTCTACTCTCTCTCGAAGATGTCTCCGATCTGTATCTACAGAAAGGAGTTCAAGTCGTATTGAGCTGCTTTCTCCTTCAGCTTGATGAGCCTTCATTTCCCAGTCTTCAGCTTGTGTATGGAGTGTTCGGAACTCCTCTAACAATTCTTGGTTTTCTCTTTCCTAGATAAAACAGTAAGTCACTCCGCAATGATCAACATACCTTCAAGTTGCTTGATCTTATTTCATGCCTACCCCCTACAATATCGTTATTTTTTCAAAAGAAAATAGCTCTTTTTCCATTTTCTTAATCCCACTATCTGGCAATTACTAAAAGGCATCATCCCTTTTGCAAGTCCAGGTAGTAAATACATACAGTGATGGCATTCAGTTTTATTAAGCAGAAGCATGTACATTTCGCAGTTGCTAATGTTCAAGGCTCCCGGTGAGGGGTTATTTTGGATCTCTCTGCATTGTCACGGGTTACGTTACTGAGGTACTGATCCTAGTGCTGCCCTTTCCAAGAAATTCCAGCAGGAGTTCATTTTCAGCTCTTTCACTTACTGCGCTCTCACAAATATTTCTATTACAGCAGTGCCTGAAAGAGTGATAACCTATTTGGGCATATGCACTTAAGCAGTCTATCATAAAAGTACAACACTGCAAGCTTTAGTGCTTTACAAGTTACGCAGTGGTGGAACAAACGTTGCTTGTGAATTTTAATTTGGACCACCTGCAAGTGCATATTATAAGGCAGTGATTAATTTTTCTTCTTTATTTAGCTCCATTCGCTTCTTCCCCTGTCCATGTGAAGCACAGCAGGATAAGCATGTTGCTAGTATGAATTAAACTTATCTAATGAGGAAGGCAACTGTTTTTGAAATTCCTTCTGTTTCCTGCAGAACTTGGAAGGTGCAGACAGAATGAGACGTGGCATTAGGAAACAGAAACTCATGATCAAGCAAACGAACACTGTGCAGAGAAGTAAATCCTTGTCTCCACAGGCAACATCTGGATGTAACACTAAACAAATCCCTGAAACCAACCTTTCATAACTGGTCACTGGCTGTATATTCTACAGCTTCTTGGTACCTGACTTGAATAACTGGATTCTCACTTGCCAAAGATGTGGCCACATCTGTAGCTGAAGTGCTTTGGACTTAAGATATATTATAAAAGTCTTAAAAACTAAGTCTTTTAAATTGAGAGTTCCAAGCTGACATAATATTGACCTTATTTTTTTCTCTACGCTTCAGTTTCTACTTATAAAAAGGAGTTGAATTTACGTGCGTTCATCTAGACGTGCAAGTCAAAGTTAGATCAAAACTCATTCTCTCCTATTCAAAATCACATAATAAATTTGCCAGTTCATGTTGTCTTGACATAAAATCTACTTGTTTTAAATGATTATAAAGTTTTCAATCGCACACGTCACACTTTTGAATCCAAGCATCAGGATAAAACACATTTAACAAGAGCACTGTTTTGTCAGTACAGCAAAAACTCTGAACTCTTATCACTTACAGAGAAAACAGTCCCATGCGCTGTTTTTACACTTTCCTGTAGAACTGCATATAAAATTTCTCTTTTTAAAAAAGTGTAAAATATTAAAAATCATCATATAAGCTGCTTGTTGCCTACAATCATGAAACAGTATCAGACATTTTACTAGTTGCCTAGTAGGAGAACAACATTCAAACATGATTTGTTTGTCATTCTCCAGCGTTAGGGCCAACTGAAACATAATCAATGAAACTGTGATGTGCCAGAATTTATCAGTGCTTCAGATCTAATAAGGTTTTACACGAATCCATTAGTAGCTTGAAACACTGCAGAGGAAATAAGGAACAAAAAAGAAGGAAATGGGACAGGCAGGGAGAATGGAACCCAAACCATACATTTCTTAATCTCTCATCCTAATGAGAATGTGCTATACTTTAAAACTAATGGATTTATTGAAAACCATAATGACTGCCTACAGATTATACTTTTACCTTTGAAGCCATCAAGGTCTCAAATCTGGAAACTTCAGTTATATAATTATGAACTCTGGTTTTCATTTCTTCTTTTTCACGTATTGCATCTTCAAGCTCAGTACTGATAGCCTAAATAGATGACATAAAGGCAAAAGAGTGCATTAGAGTAAATTAATCACTATATGTTACTGTATCAGAATAAATCAAAGTCATTTCATATGCCCTAGTTTTTATTCTATTCTACTTTTAAGTAATTTAGTCAAAGCCCTTTGGGATTTGTAGGGTTACCTACTGATCTCTGGAAAATTCAATACACAGGCATTTGGGAGCTGAGATTTTTCTAGCCTTAATCTTCACTAGCCCTGAGTGAAGGCAAGTTTTGTGTCACTAGACAGTCAACTTTGTAAGAAAAGACCATTTATTTTAAAGTAGAATTGCAAGATATATAACTAAATAACTAAATGCATTCTTAAGATCATATCTAGACATTGACAATGCACCATGGAATTTGTTTGAGATGTTGGAACTGCTAACTCTGGCCCTCTCAGGTTTAACTCTCACCTTTGAGTCCTCTAGCCCAGACAGCCAAAAAAGGCAAGTATCTTCTTCTATCCCCACTAGCAAATGTGGGGGAAATAGAGGATATTGCTTGCTTTCTCTCCCATCTTCTTTTTGTGGTATATGAATATTCATTAATGGCAGCCTTTTTACTGTGTGCCTTATTTAGCATACACTGAAATCAGTCTGCTTGTCCCTGTGATAGCCTTCCCAAGCACACTGTAAAAGCTTTAGTCATCACATTACTATTTAATATTTCATCTTATTAAATAACTGTGAATTGCATCTCTAATTTCAAGAACACACCCACATATCCATGTATCATAACATAGGTTTTGCAAGAACTATTCAGGGTACTACATCATTTAAAACCTCTTGCTATATTGTACTTTTCTAGCTTCAGACTCAGCCAGGTTGACTGAGGGGAATTGAAATAAATGATTCAGCTAACAAGGCCCTGATGATTTTTAGTGTTGACATTTACAGTGAATTCAAACAAGCACTTGTATCTCAGCACCAAAATTGTGTAAGGCATCTGAGTCTCATGATGAGCTGCAATAGCTGTATTTGCTATACAAATTGAATGCAATGAGTTGTAACAAAATTCTAGGCTAGCTCATTCACATATTCTCTATGTTGTCTTTTTTAGGTTTAGCCAAATAAAAATGTTACTTACCCTATGAAACACTGGACATTTTTGTAATATATCTTCCATACACACGCTTTATAGTAGAGGGACACCCACATCATGCACTTGAAGCTGGGAGCTTTTGGCCAGTAGTAAGCAGTTAGTGCACAAAACCAACCCATGATTCCTCAAACTGAGAGGGGATTAGCAAGACTGACTGCACTTCAGGCTTTCCAAGCCATGGATCCCAGACCCAGAGAATTCCAAGGAAAAAGAGATGGAGCAATGATGACTCGGAAAAGCGCAAATGGACATGTACTATATAAGCCCCTCATGCTCTTGAAAGAACAGGCCTTACACACCAGTGGTTGGTCTAACTTGCAGACTCCTGGAGAACATCTCAAGATGAAGATGCCACAAGAATAATAATAACAATGATAATCAAACAGTTTAATTCAATAAATCTCTCAACTACTTCTGTCTTGCAAATTTTTTATTTCACCTACACCATCAGCTGGAGATAGCTCATCTTTCAATAAAATATCCAATGATACCCTACGGAAATAGGCAGTTCCTCAAGACATTAAAGATTCTATTTCAACTTTGATTCTGTAACTGATGAAAGTTTAAGTCATGCCTTTATAGCATCCACTTTACAAGGAAACGTATTTAGCCATCAGGAGCTGAGATGGACTGCATAGTTCCCAACTGGAAAGCTGACCATGAATACACATGAACCAACTCAGCGTCCACTAGGCAATCAGAATCAACTTCCCACCTGCTTTTTGGCCTAAAGCTACTGACTGGTAACTGTTAGCAAGGATGACTCTAAACTGCTATATGCCAGAGGGACGGGATGCCATCTAGAGGGACCTGGACAGGCTGGAGAGGTGCGCCCTGACCAACCTCATGAGGTTCAATAAGGCCAAGTGCAGGGTCCTGCACCTGGGCTGGAGCAACTGCCAGTATCAATAAAGGCCGGGAGAAGACAGGCTAGAGAGCAGCCCTGCGGAAAAAGACTTGTGGGCACTGGTGGATGAAAAGCTGGACATGAGCTAGCTACCAGGGCGCAACTGCAGCCCAGAAGGCCAATCACATCCTGGGCTGCATCAAAAGATGCGTGGCCAGCAGATCTGGAGAGGTGATTCTGCCCCTCTGCTGTGCCCTGGTGAGACCTCACCTTCAGTACTGCATCCAGCTCTGGAGCCCCCAACACAAGAAGGGCATGGACCTGTTGAAGCGTGTCCAGAGGAGGGCCACAAAAATGATCAGAGGGCTGAAGCACCTCTCCTACAAGGACAGGCTGAGAGAGTTGGGTTGTTCAGCCTGGAGAAGAGAAGGCTCTGGGGGGACCTTCTAGCAGCCTTCCAGTACCTGAAAAGGGCCTATAAGGTGGCAGGGGAAGAACTATTCACAAGGGTTTGTAGTGACAGGACGAGGGGAAATGGTTTTAAGCTAGAAAAGGGTAGATTTATGTTGGACATTCGGAAGAAAGTTCTTTAATACGAGGGCGGTGGATCAGTGGAACAGGTTGCCCAGAGGGGCAGTGGAAGCCCCATCCCTGGAGACGTTCAAGGTCAGGCTTGACGGGGCCCTGAGCAACTTGACCTAGTTAGAGATGTCCCTGCTTACTGTAGGGGGGTTGGACTAGATGACCTTTAGAGGTCCCTTCCAACCCAATACATTCTGTGATTCTATGATTCTACTAGAGAGCTAAGGAAAGATGAAACCATATAGAACTAGTACAAATAAAAAGATGTAACATAAAACTCTGCAAGCAGTCAAATAAAGTACCTGAACAGAATCTCCACAAAAAACAGTTTAGTACTTCAGTAAACATGCTGCCTTCATACCTGGTTTTCTCTGGCCATTGTAGCTAGGTCATCTTGCAGTCGTCTGTTTTCTTTCAGAGCCATTTCCTTTACTCTTCCTGTTTCTGCAAGCTCTACGTGGGATGTATCAAGCTGGCGACGTAAGCTAGATATCTCATGGTCTCTGTTGCTCAGCATGTCCTTCAACTGGCTATAAAGTGAAAACCTTAATTAAGTTGTCCCTTCTTAGACTATACCACATATTGCTGAAAATGATCAGATGTGGATTTTGGATATGCAAAAGCTTTATCTTTTAAAAAAGAAAAAAGGCAAATTCTTGCTCTCTGAAGGCTGACAAACTGAGTCTAAACATAACCATAAGCTCTAAGGATGTAACATGTCAATATGCACAAAGAAAATGGAGTTAATCTTCAACTTATGGGACATATCTGGCAGGATGTATCTTATTACACAAACAGAATTACAGATACTTGCCAATAATCAAGAGTTCAGCTCTGAGTTTTACCTGGGTCAATCTAATAATATCTAGTGGAGTACTCAAAATACTAAAAAGCTACTTCTCAACCGAGAATCAAGAAACGTTACTAATTTAGGAAAATAAAGACAGAGAAACAGCTGTTAATGGCTATCTTAACAGCATCTTAGCAGCCTGCAATATAATTGCAAGGGAAGTCTCTTCAAAACTTGTGTATGTCTTTCTCAACACACTACACTCCATTATTGACTTAAACAGAATTAACTCCATTTCACCAAAATAACTTAAATAGCTATCTACTTTCACTTTAAAACCACTAGATAAAATAAAATCACTGAAGGTGGCATCCTACTCTTTACTTACTCTCTTGAAGACTCCAGCTCAGATAGAGTTAGACGTAAATGAGTAATTGTTTTTTCCTACGAAAATAAAAGCAAAAGTTGTGTTAGGTATTATTATATTGCAGCATAACAGGATACTTCAAGTTAAAGAACTTTATGTTTAAACTTTCATTTTAACCCTTCATCAATAAGTAATTGCATCTTTGCACATTCAAATTTCCAACCTTCTTTTCTTTACTGAGAAAGGACTGTCTTGTCATCAAAAAAGACAGAAGTCAGCTATAGATTCTGTCACCTCAGGCTAGAACCTTATATCTCAATAAATACCTCCAAGTCAAAATGAAAAAAAATACTTCTTTATTTTCTTGGAGTGTTTAGGGAAGACACTAACAATCATAATTAAAATGCTATTGAGTTGGCAAATGACTCTTTGTATTGGTTATGTCCAAACATAGTGTTTATGTGATGCCTAGAGCTCTGCACAGGCTTTGTCATCAAGGCAAAATGTCTCCCTAGAATGTAACTGCTTTAAAAATCCCCAGATGAACTGCAAAATATTACTTTTACTGCACATACCTTGTTAGCTAAGTTGTCATCTAAGCAAGCAATTCTTTCTGTTTTTTCATCTACAGTTTCTTGAAGATTGTCTTTTTCTTTGTCTAAAACAGTAATAGTACTTCTAAGCACATTGACTGCTTCATCCTGTGAAGTGCTCCTCTGGTTTAACCTATCTATAAATAAAATAATAAGTCATTTCTATTTTTTTTTTTTAAAAATGAGATGAGCATAAAAATAACTAGTGATTACCTATTTTATCCTCTAGCTTTACAATTTCTTCTTGAGCTGACTGCAGTTCATCCTTTTTGAGGGACAATCGGTGCTGTAAATCTTCAACAGACCTCTGGAGCTGGTCATTTAAGAGCCTGGAAAATCAGTATACAGTTTAAAGAAGTCTGGAACCTATTCAGGGTCATCAGAGTATGGCTCTTAAGCTGCTTGAAGTGCAGGAGTAGTTCCAGCATAATCTCACGACAGGGCTGTGCCATATTCACGAGCTCTCTCCCTCCCTCTCTGGGAGAGAGAGGACTATTAAGGATTGCCGAGGCCAACACCACTTGGTTGCTCTGGACCCCTGCAGCAAGTCCACCTCAACACCATTCCAAAATGGAGCAAGAGAACCTCGGTGGAACCACCATGATAATCTGAAACATTCACTTCCTCTGATTACTGGTACTTTTCATCATGTCACTCTTGTTACTTGGGTCTTTTGACTCTTTGTTTTATAAAGATTTTGATATGTAGCTCATAGCAGTGATTATCAGCCACATCCCATTTTAAGCAGCAACCAAATTGACAGCTACAGTGCTGATCCTACTTTTAAGAAATACAGAGCCTGAAAGATATATGAAACCATCTACCTACAGAGTTGTTTTGCTTAGCAAGAAATATCAGGGTGACCTAGGGAAAAAAAATGCAAAAAAAATCTCCTAAGTAATTGAATGGATTATTTTACAAAACAGGTCAGGAAATAAAAATCCCTCTGAAGTGGGATCCCACAAAAGCTAGAGCTTTTCCTTTTTAAAAACCCCACCAATCGGGAATACAGCATGCCTGCAGATAAAGATTGCTCTCACTCAGTTTAGAGTGAAACTTTAGAGGGAAAAAAATAAAAAGGGGGGCCCCAAACACAGCTATAACAAACTGCTACCATGCACAAAGTAGAACCAAATGCTGAAATTACTATAGCCCTGCTCCTTATTTCCTCCTTTTTATAATATCAATGCTTTCCACTAAAATAATAAGGAACCTAACAAGATATTTCACTTTTATGAATGTTGTCACAATTTTATCAACAAAAACACTAATTATTTTACTAACAGCCTTCTTTGTGCAATTGGGAGCATGAAATGAACTCCAAGGCCCACTTCTCAGCTTCAGTTCTTCAGATACCCACCCTGCTACTGTACTGTTTATATAGTGCAATAGAGTACTGCTCAGGTGGAGGGGATGTGTGGGGTGTGAGCCACAGACCCTGCCTTCCCTTGTAAAAGGTCCAAAAGATCTTATCTACAGCATTACCTATCCTGTAGAGATCTCTTACATCAAAGGCTCTCGTTTACACCTAAACCAAAGACCAGATTTCCAAATTTCTGCCCAGATTTATTCAATACTCTATTTCCACTTTCTCTAAGCCACCGTCTTGTTCTATCGCATTTAGATAGCTGATGGGAGGTCTCTTCTAAAACCACTTTAGAAGAGTGCAGCAATGATCCTGCAAGTTTAAAAAGGCCTTAAAAATACATGACTGTACTTGATCCTCCAGTTCTGGGCCAACTGGTCAAATTCCCACAGACTGTGTCTACCGATCATAAGACACCAACTCTCCAAACTGTAGTATATATGTGATAGTATTAGCATATGAAAAAGAGTGACACAAGAAAAACAGCTCAAGTAAAATGCCATTACAGAATGATTCTCCGTGAACCACTCAGCTGTGGAATATCAGTGCCTAAAGCTTGGCATGAAATTTTCAGTATTACTGACAACTTTGTAAGGCTGGCACAATTGGGTCCTACTGCTGCAGTTTGCAAAGGCATCTCTCTTACTTTTAACAAACAGCATTCGGAAATCCTTTTAGGAATTTTCTGTTCTGCTACATCCATAAGCAAAGAACATGGCGGTTAGAGGAAACAATTCTAGAAGGAGAAAATTTTCATTCACAATTAGCCACAAAAATTATCCGTATATCTGGTCATCAGATAAGTCCCAGAGGAGCGCGCTGAGAAAAGCCATCACAACACTTTCCTTACTCATATTTACTTTTCCTTAAGACAAAAAGAGTACCAAGTGATTCTGAAAATATTTTATAGTCTTTCCCAGGAACTCAACTCTGCTATACAGTCATAGAACAAAGAAAATAATGTCAACATCTGTGAAAGACCACCACATTTTGTATTAGACTTACTGAAGTGAGCAAATCTCATCTTTAAATTGAGAAGAATCATCAGATGTCTGGGCAAGCTTACTGGACTTCAATTTTAATTCATTTTCCAAAGAGTTTATTCTTTCTTTCATGACAGAGATTGTAGTCTTTAGTTCACACCTTTCCATCTCAAACTGCAATTAAAAAAAAAAACAAACCCCAAACATGTTATTGTTGTAGAAAGCTATCATAACTTGGCTTTTAAATAAATTTAAGTAGAAAACAGATAACAAAATTAATTGCTTGAAAGTCTATCCTATTTTAGAAGTAATGAAAGCTTACATCCTAAAAATGCACTTACTCCTTGAATATTATTCTCAAGTTCTGAAATATCATGCTGCATCTTTGATTTTTCAAGGTTAGCTGCTTCTTGCTGAATCTGAGATAGAAATATAGAATCACATGTAACAACATACACGTTTTCAGATTTAACCATAGAAATTTCAGCTTAATGTTTTAGAAAACATTGCTCTACATTCTTAGATGAATAACCAAATGCAAAGTTCTCTCTATAAAACTACGGAGCATTAGCTGAAAATACACCACTGCAGGTCAATATAATATCACTGAGTTTGATTTTGGGTTTTGGTTGTTGTTTGTTTGGGTTTTTTTTTTTTAAGAAAAAGTATATTCATATTTGGTCCCAACCAAATTAATATTTATAAGTTGTTGCAGAAAGATTGCTGAGCTACAGGACCATAGGAAAGGTTGCAAGCATGCATAGCTTAGTGTCCTAAGCTGTTTGAAATTAATTTGTTAAATTATCATTAACATGAAATGTAAAACAGATTACAAAGCTAACTGTTTTTCTTGAAGTCTATGAAGAAATTTTTTTTAAACAATTTGTCTGTTCTCTGACTTCTGGGCATAAGTGCAGTGAAATTATTAAACAAACTCTCAGACATACTAGAAATGCCTGAGATCAGTAGTCTTGTGCAGATATTTCAAAGTGGCACACATACAAAATGTTGGTAGTCGCCTACAAGAAGAAGGGATGGAGCTGGAAGCACACTTCTTCCACTGCATGCACACGCTTTAAGCAAAGAGGTCAGAGTTACCGCTGCTGCATTCAGATAACTACAGTTCTCTATTTTCGTGATAGTAAATCAAACTACAGAAACGTTCATTGCACAGTCAGTCTTGACCTATGCTGTCTTTGGATCAGTCCATTAATATTATTTTAAATTTCTGAATTTTCAGGACATTTGAAAAACCTGTATACATTATGTTAATGACCCAATAAAGAATTCAGGGAAACCCTCCTGAAATCATATGCTCTTGGCTATAACCAAACAAGACATTAACGCACTTTAACACCAGACATCAAGAGGACACAGTAACAGGAAAATTATTGCATTAATAAATATTTTTTAAAAGGTTAAATATAACAAAACTTGGATTCCTATGGATTTAGGATTGATGGTCCAGTTATACATCATTTAAAATATATTCTTCTACAAATTGCAACAATAACCAAAGATTAGTTAATATGAAAAAGTCCATGAAGTCCCCAGTTCGTGGGACAAGAACCATATGTGACACACAAGCATCTTCATAGCGCATACACACAAAAATATTCTGTTAGGACTTCATATCTAGGGTCTTCACAAAAGGCGATGACACCCTTGCCCTCAGACTTAAAGCACGTGCCCTCAGACACTTAAAAGCATGTTCCTCTCCCCCTATCCCCACCTAGGAACTGAGATTCCAAGGATAACTCAGACAATTCATCGAGCTCTCTCAAGGGGGTTTGAAATTAGGTAAGTTCAAAAGTTATTGAAGAGGAGAACTGACAGACAGCTGACACGAATATGGCATTATTGTAGAAGCCTTCCCTATATGCCACCTCACTGTAAGCAATGAAGCTAGAAAAGCTCACCTTTAATTTTTCTCTGAGGCTTTCTTTCTCTGCCATTAGTCTTCTAAAGTCAGTCAGCGCAATGTCTCTTTCTTCTTCCACATGACTTTGAGAAACTAAACTATGTTTTGCTTCTCTTCTCATCCTGTTCAATTCAGCCTGAGACTTTAAAAGAAGATTATCATTTGTTAGCCTATGTGAATTGCAGTTAATAAAGTGTATGCACTAACAAAAAGGAAAGTTTCAATGCTGTTCCTAGAATAGAAGTGCTATTATAGTCTTATTTTTTCCTAGATAACTAAAATATATTCCCTAAATCACACAGTGGCATGACAACTCATGCTGCCAATGCACTCATCATCCTTTTACTGTTCCAAGTATAGCCTAACTTCACTCTATTTTCTTATCAGTTCCCACACTTCTTCCTTGCTTTCTAGCCTGTATCCTTACCCAACTTTCTCATGCATTCTCTTGATCTTTCTCCCTGATCTTTCTCATTTCCAAATGCCAGTACAGTAAGTTATAGTGGCTTCAAAGTTAATATAGTAACTTTGGAATACATAACTTTATTAACTAGTAATAAAAATAGGTATATATTTTATTATTCTAGTAGGTTTATACTCCTCAAGTTCTGTTATAGAGAGGCTTTTACATTTTAAATAAGCAACAGTAAAAGTGTTAATAGGTTATTTCAATGCCAGTTATAAACACTCTCTTCTTACCTGCTTATAAAGAACATTTAATCTATCTCTTTCTGCAGTCAATATCTTGACATTGGATTGAATTCCTATCATGTGTTTTTCAAATCTGTCTAACATGGACTGTAGCTCATCTCTTTCTCTGGTGATCAACCTAAGATCTTCATTCTGCAAAGTGATTAATAAAATGTATGTTAAAATATACTAATTAAAATAGTAGGATAATTAATACAAGAAAAGAAAGAACTCATACTATTAGTAACACACGAAACATACATAGAAAATAAATTTTGATTGTACGAAAAAGCCTGGCACTGGTGATAGAATTTAAACAATAAGATCTAACCGTTAAGGAGAAAAAGCAAAACAACTAAAAAGAAGACTTCAACCTTTTTCTCTTTATCATCTAGTTCTATTTATTTCAAATAACTGATTGATAATTAATATGTTACTGTAAAATGAGAATAGGAAAATAAAATGCAAGTTCACTAGTTTCTCTCAGTTAATTTTTTACGTTAAGCATAATATAAAAAACTACTACAGTCCTTTACTGCTACGGAATTTGAAAATATATTTAACAGCTCCTTAAATGGTTCTACAGTATTTCCATTACTTTTTCAGCTTGGCTTGGCAGCAGGGATTTTACCTTCTCTGGAGTCCTATGGCTTGGGCTAGGCCTTCGCTTTATCATTTTCTGAAGATATTCTAATTCTCGCTTATAATAATCTCTGTCATCTTCTAAAGTCTTTACAAAGGCATCTAGACGAGATGGGGATTTGTCTCCTAGGGCTATACCATATTCTAATCTCATTCTTTCTATTTCTAGGACAAGTTCTCGTTCTGCAGAAAAGGAAATAAAAACAACTGCAATTTCCACACAGACATTTGTATTTGGGACTGACTAACTCCCAGCAACCATCTGGACAGCAAATCTGCTGAAAAGGACATAGGAGTCCTGGTTGCCAGTAGGCTAAGCATGAGTGAGCAGCGTGCTCTGGAAACAATAAAGGCCTAACAGCATATTGGGCTGTATCAACGGAGACACAGACTGAGGGATGGGATTATTCCCCCTTACTCAGCGCTCATTAGACTGCATTTACAACACTGTGTTCAGTTTTGTCCCCCTTAGTACAAGAAAGATGCTGATAAACCTGAGCGAGTCCAGGACTCTGGCAGGGAGCAGAATACTTGCCCTGTGGGGAATGGCTGCAGGAACTGGGCTTGTTCAGCCTGGAGAGGAGCTGGGGACCCAAGAGCAGACTGGCAATACCAAAAGGGGGTTATAGATGACACGGAGCCAGTTTCTTCACAGAGGTGCACAGAAGGTAAACAAGGAACAATGGTGATTAATTGCTACAGGCAATTACAAGCAATATCCAGGGAAAAAATTTACTCTGAGGATAAACAAACATTGAAATGGGTTGCTTAGATGTCGTGGAATCTCCATCCCTGGAGGTTTTCAGGATCCAACTGGATAAAGCTCTCAAGAAACACAGTCTGAATTCACTCACTCAGAAAGACAGAGAATAAAACCATTTTTGGACAAAAGAAATTATTTTATATAAAACTGCCATAGTATTAGTATTAGGATGTCCTGTGGGATCACAGTAAAAAGCTCAATTTTCAGTCCTCACAGAATGAAAACATGTTTCCCTGACAAAAGTTTTCACTTCAATTCTGACTGAAGACCTATGGTTGTCTTTTAATTTACATATATTAAGTCTTTTAGTATTATTAACTGTACCTTAACTAGGTAAGGTTTTCTATTTCAAAAATTATAGGAAGATAATTTACAGGAATCTATGTTTGATGATTTACCTTTTATTTCTAAGTTCTCTGTTTTTTCTGTCAGCCTTTGTTTCTCTTGTTCAAGCTGGTTTAACAACAGTTCAAGATTCTCTTTATCATCTGCTTTTCCAAAGAGTTCTTCACTTAGTTTCTTGTTCTCCCTATGACATGAGCACAACTCCTGAAGTAACAAGTATTATTAAAAAAATTAGAAGTGCCAAGAGAGATGTTTGGAAAAAAATATCTAATTATTTTTTAAACTTCTGTTTAACCTGGATGTTTTATGCTTTAACATTTGTTAAAGGCCGTCATTGTTTTTACACTACTTTTTTCGTATGCTACGTCAAAGTAATCATTATGTTCGACATGGTTTGCAGTCAGTAAAAAACCAAGCAAGATCAACCCTCCTTTAATTCAAGGAACCAGCCAGAAGGATAGTGGGATACAAACACAGAAAAAAAGTAATAACTAAAGCAAGAAATAATTTTTAATGGCATTTAGTAACACTGTTGGTGTTAAATTACATCTCAATATGGCATTCTCAGTTAACGGAACCCTGCAGTTAATCAAATACTATTTAGCATGTCTTTCCTAAAATCTGGTGCCCTGAAAATGAAATATTTTTGTGTTTTCATGTTCACTAGAAATACTAAACCAAAACACTGCCCAACTAATACACAACTTGGTATGCACTGGTAAGAGTTTTGTCTTCAAGGAACTGATAATATTGATGTTTTTCATCTGGGCTACTATGCTTTGTTTCTGAGTGAGCCAAATATTGCATAATTATTTACACGCTGGTTAAGAGACACAGTAGTTTCTAAATGAAGAAAATCCTCTAGGATGTCATAACTCGTTTGTGGTACAAATGATTATGTCAAGGAAATTACAACTTCAAATAGCAGAAATAAGGAAATGTACAATAAGGACATGGTCAACCATACTGTCTTTTTTTCTTTCAGTTTATTTTTGCAACAATATGATGTAGCTTCTTTATCTCTTTCATTTATTAATTAGTAATTTGTTAAACAGAGTTTTGGGGTACTATAAAAGTTCTCTTGTCAATTGTTAAATTGTTATTTTTTATAATAAATAAAAGAATCATGTAGATGACAGTATGGCAAAAAATGCTACAAACATGACTTGAAAGTATTTTTACTTACTGATTTAAGCCTTGTTATTGTTTCTTCAAGATCCTGTATTTCACTGTGTTTTCTTTCAATTTCTTTCTATCAACCAAAATTAACCCATATGTTAAAAGTTAGATCTTCAAAATGACAATTCCTTTGTTACAAAAAAGCTAAGGAAACAGACTATTTGTGTAAGAAATAACATTAGTTCCTTGTAATCTGCCAAATATTAAGTAGCAAAGCTCCTTTGAACTGAAAGCACAAAAAATTTGTGGTATACACACCCTTGCTCTTTTAGAGCACAACAATTAAAGAAATCATTGCATAACTCCTCATAGGAAAAAACCCCTCCAAACACAGGCATCACTGTTGCAAATATCTATTACCTATCAATAGTTTTAAGTATCTGAGAATTTTATTTCATACTAAGGTAACAGAAGGAAGACAGATTGCCTCTTAACTAAACTCATCTCACCTAATATAGTAAAGAGAAAATCGCTGTGATTTAAGTAAATATTAAGTAAATTACAATACTAAGTAAAATATCTTTTTAATCTTTCTTTACAAGCTGATAGGTCATTTGTTGCAATTAAAAGATATAAAGCCACATAAGAGCCAAGCAGATCCTTCACACTGTAACACATCAGTGATTACCTTTGCTTCTCCTATTTCCTTATCTGCAGTCTCAATCACAATTTCCTTGTGTCTTTCCAACTGTTGTGCCAAGTGGTCTATTTCATTCAGTTCTTGACACAGTTCTTCATTTTTATTGCTCAAATGCACTACCTCACTTGCCACATTTTGTTTCGTGTCCAAGAGGTCTTGAATGCGATTTTCAAGTTCTTTGTTTGTTTGCTGAAGATATTCAACCTGGAAGAAATTTATCATTAAAACATTAATGTGTATTGTTAAACTAGGTAGCAAAAGTTCCTCCCAATCTTCTGAAATATATTATCTCTATATCCATAGTCAAAAAGGGACATGCTTAATGCTTATCAACATGAAAAAACCATGGTTTTACAAAGGTGCAAGGTGAAAGAATTAGTTACTACATTGTTCTTCATCTAGTTTCCAAAATCTGAAGCTTATTCTAAAACAAAGTACTGCAAAGCAGAGATGTGTACAGAAACCTGTTTGGGCATCAGTCCGGTAGACCCAGTGTATTCATGAGTTTGCCTAAATTTCACAAAATACGAGGACACATTCTTCTCTGCACCCTTGTAGTGTATTTGTTAGGCTTAGTCTCACTGTTACTCCTTCACGAAAGTGAAGCTTTACAGATCAGACTCTCAAAACCTATCTTGCCCCCAACATATCTCACCACCTTAAACACAACATCCTCAGAAATCCTGCTCTATAGATATTGTTTTTTCCCTGTATACCTTTCCCTGGGAGTAAACAGAAGACAGGCAGGGATGTGGAGTGGGAATAAAAAAAATATACACAAGAAGTTACACTACCCAGGAAAATGGCAGCCTGAAGTATTTTAAAAGATCCAAGAAAACAGAGGTGCTCCACTTCCTTCTCCACACAACTTTGCTTAAAGTTCCAGAAGGAAGTATTGCTGTAGACACACAGAAGGAAGTCTGAGCCCTCTCATAGTCAAGAATACGACTACATAGAGAGATCCATCCGTTTATTGTCAGAGAATAAAAGTGGGCACTGAGCCTGAGCAAATAGTCTTGATGGCCCAAAACCAGCTTTCTGCAGCTCTGGGCTGACTCTCTGTACAATCAGTTTGTGTCCAGCATGACTTACTAATTCAAGATCACCGAACGCAGCTGTACTGCTTCCAAGTCACAGCTCATTCTGTATTTTTGCAGCACTTAATCTAAGCTAATAAACTCCGCAATGTGGCTCTCATGCCACTGTACGTCACGCACAACATACATAACGTCAGCTGGAAAAACAGAGAATTGATGGTAAAAATCCAGAGATGGGCTTTACTTGATGTGTACTCCAGCCTGTCTTGTGTTATTTTTTTAAATCCTCATTCTGAGACCAATATTGAATGCATGTTAATATACACAGTAAACACAAACATCTTTATCCTAAGCTTATCCTTCCCTTTCAAGCCTATGTTGGAATAAAGGTGGGGACCATTTGAATTCAATGAGGAAGATACCCCACTATCTGACGAGACTATCTGCAGGACTACTCCTTATCATAAGTACATGCACCATGATTAGTGCCTAAAACATAAATGATAGGTACAAAAATAAAATAATTTAAAAAAGAAAATAAGTCTTTTCAAACTTGGTGAAAACAGTGTACCATACAGAAATTTTCTAAATACTCTCAGATTAACATTACTGTGTACAGATGTGAGTACACAGAATTCTTTACCAAAACCATTCTAAAAGACTTAAAACAAGAAATGAAATTTCCTTAGACAAGAAACGCTGCCACCTAGAAAACAAAGCAAGTTAAATTGATTGATTTTATATCTAATAGTGATTTTTTAAAACAGTTAGAGGTTTTTGTGAGTCTTTTTAGATTGCTAGTTTTTTTTTTTTTGACTAAACAACAGTAATAAATCCATTACCTGCAAATTCAAATGGGCAATAAGCTTCTCATTACTTTTACTTCTCGATTCCAGAGAGAGAACCTCATGAGAACGCCCCCCATCCAATGCTAGCACCAGGCGCTCTATTTCTTTGTCTCTTAGCTCAACCTTTGAGTGGAAAAAAGAAGAAAAATCTTATTTATCTTCTCTACCATTTAATAGAACCTGCGTTCAAATAAATATCTGTATAACATACAGGAAGAAGATACACACCTAATAATGCAATTTTTATCTTTAACATAATTTATTTTTTAACTCTGGAGTTTTCCTCAAAAAAGTTATTTCTTTGAAAGAAAAATAAATGACTCAAATAGAACTGGTACAAAAAACCCCCTGAAAGAATTCCTACTAGATCATTTCTTGAAGAAAACCCAATCATTTTCATTTAAAGTGAAGTTAATGAATGTTGCAAATTAACTGTCTGAGACTAGTATTTAAATTTAGGGGAAAAGCTTTTAAATCAACTTTTAAAACACTGGAAGAGAAAAACCAAGATGCAAGGAAAAAAAAAAAAAAAAAGAGGATGGTGTCCACTAATCCCCAAATATTGAAAGATACAACAACACAGGAATAATTGATGCAATCCCATCACTTAAAGATCATACGTATCTTATCAATCCACTCTAATTAAAATATTGTAAAATCTGTTGTTCATAAATTAACTTTCAAAAATTACAAATTCAAAAAATACAACTAGTCCAAAGAGTGAAAAAAATTATCCTAAAATATCTGTAAATCGAATTACTATTTTGGACCAGTTAATGCTTCTGCACTAAAAATCCCCAGACATACACAAATTCTACTTACGATCATCAAGGTTTGCTTATTTAATGTAATTTTAATACACAAAATACATCAGCAAAAGCAGCAGGCAAGTATTTTATCATTGCTGCTATCTTTAAAAGGAGAGGAGAGAAATAGCCCAACATAGGCAAGTTAGAATAATTGTGTTTCACAAGCCCTACAGTGCTTTCCCAATGAGGTTAAAACACAAATTATAATCAAGGCCACCGCAATGCTACTATAGACTAATAACAGTTAAAAAAATCTGTAAACATACCTGTTTGCTATAATTTTTCATTCCACGTTCAGATATCTCCAGTTTTTCCTGTAGCTCTGTTACTTCCGACTGAAGTTCATGAATTCTGAAATTTAGCAATATACTGTTTATGTTGATTCATGGAAGAATCATGTGTACACAACAATTCAATATTAGTATTTTCTCTTTGCTCCCAAACGTAAATATTTCACAAAAAAATAGTCTTGTTCATACAAAATATTAATACAGAAGCCATGGTTTGAGATATTGTAGCAGATTGACTTTGGCTGATGCCAGATCATCACCCAGCTGATCTCTCACTCCCTCTCCTCAACACAATGTGGGAGAAAATAATATGAAAAAGCTCAAGGTGAAAAGGATCAAGATAAAGACAGGGAGATCATTTACCAACTACTGTCACAAGCAACACAGACTCAACGTGGGGAAGATTAATTTAATTTATCATCAATTAAAAATAGAGTAGGATGGTGAGAAACAAAAACCAAACTAAACCCACCTTCCTCCGCTTTTTGCCAAGCTCAACTTCACAGCTTCACTTCCAACTCTTATATCCTGCCCTACCCCAAGTGGTGCAGCAGGGATGGGGACTGGGAGCCGCCGTTAGTTCCTAACACTTCAGCTTTGCTCCTCCTTCCTCCTCACACTGTTCCCCTGTTCCAGCATGGGGTCCCTCCCATGGGATACAGTCCTTCACAAACTGCTCCAGCATGGGCCATCTCCACAGGGTGCAGTCCTTCATGAACAGACTGTTCCAGTGTGGGTCCCTCATAGGCCACACCTCCTGCCAGAAAACCTGCTCCTGTGTGGGCTCCTCTCCACAAGCTGCAGTTCCTGCCAGGAGCCTGCTCCACGGGCTGCAGCTTCCTTCAGGGCATATCCACTTGCTCCAGCATGGGGTCCTCCACGGGCTGCAGTGTGGATATCTGCTCTGATGTGGTGCTTTCCAGAGCCTGCATGGACAACCTGCATCACTATGGTCTTCTCCATAGGCTGCAGGGGAACCTCTGCTCTGGCATCTGGAGCACCTCTTCCCCCTCCTTCTTCACTGACCTTGGTGTCTGCAGGGTTGTTTCTCTCATATTTTTCTTACTCCTCCCTCTCGCTGCTGCTGCGCAGCATTGGTTGTTTTACCCTTTCTTAAAAAACATTTTCACAGAGGAGCCACCAGCTTGGCTGACGGGCTCAGTTGTGACCCATGGTGGGTCTGTTTTGAAGCCAGATGGTACTGGCTGTGTCCAGCACAGTGTAGCTGCTGGTCTCTTCTCAGAGGGGCCACCCTTGCAGTCTCCCCAATGCCAACACCTTGCCATGTAAACTCTCTACAGATACCTTCTAAAGAAGAAAAATGAATTTACTTGAATATTTCATAATACAGGTTCACAAGCCAAAAATAGTATTACAAAAATCAAGAATATTGTAGTCTTCCGAAATAAGTGGGAAAAATCTGTTTATTCCTATGCAAAACATTACACCTAGCTTTTTTGCAGAACACCTAATCTAAAATCAGGTGTAACAGTAAAACCTGCATAGAAATTTTAAGAAAAATCCTTTAAGGAAATAACCAGCTTATTAAACATCCATCACAACTTTGTCACAGGCAGCACTGTCAATTCCTACGCAAAATCCCATTTTATAACTCTAGTGGCTCTTTAAACATCATGAAATACCATTTTGTTTGAGGCAAATTTGAAAGGCAGGAGGAGGGTGGGGGTTGGAAAACCACTACAGATATTTAACACCTATACTTCAAAATTTAGAAGTTTTTTAGATTACCGATTATCAGCCACCTGAAGAAGGTCTGCGATGTAAGGATCCTCTGGCTGAGGAACTGGATAGGTACTAACACCCGATGGGGGGACAGGCTGGTCTATCTGCATGCGTTGACGCCTGAAGGGAATGCTTCTTTTTCTGCCACCTAAAAGCCCAAACCCAAAGGCCTGTTACTTGGAGTTAAAGCAAGGGAGTCGTCATCTTTAAGGAAATTTAATTTTTAATTTAATTTAATATATTTATTCCACTGCCTTCTGAATTGGCATATTTCACCATTTTAATCTTACTGTAGTAAGTTGATAAAATGTGAACATTCTAGACAACACCATTCTTGCAGGTTATTATCAGCTTTGTCAAAGTTCGGTTTTATAATAAGGAAACATGCAAAGTTCAGTGTAAGTAATTTTCCCCAATGTTTAAGACGTTAAATATTCTACAGTTCAAACCTGTTGAATCTGTTAGCAATTTACCTTACTAAGAAAGCAAAATTAAAACATCAAAAAAGACACTTTGTTTTCACATTTAAGAACTATTTTATGACTGAATTAACCTCCGTGTTTTTCCTTCTATCCTATTGTAATTTCAGCGAATAAATATCATGACCATATCAAGCAAAGTAGGTTATTTGCTTGCATGGTTACATTATATTCAAAACAAAGCAAAACATAGTAGTATTTCCAGAAAGAACAATTACTCATCACATGATTAAATAAGAACATACAATATTTGATGACATAGTACAGAAAAATCCCAGAAGACTGCTGACCAAGGGGCAGGTATGCAGAAAGACAGACAAAAGTGTAACATGGCATCTTTGAAGCAAAGGTCATGAAATGCAGAAAGGTGTGGAAAAATAGAGAGGAATTTTCATTTCGCCTAACTACATATTAATTTCCCACAGATGCCAAAAATACATTTTTAATTCAACGACCGAAACAAAAGATAATTTCAAAATTTCACAAAATAATTCTCGCTATTTCCCTTAGTTTGAAAAAAGTTAAGAAAAAGGAAACCCTGGAGAAAGAAATTAACCTGAAAGTAACATCCAGAACATTTTCAGTTATCCGAAGACCCTTTAAATTCTGTAAGCTTTCAGAGGGTTGGAATATTTGTAGACATATTTTATATCTCGCTACTTTTAGATCGTGGTTACAAAAATCTGAATTATACACTCACACATCATCAATTAGCTGTCAAAAAGATTCAGGTGTTGAACAACCTGCCTCTGACTACATTAGGTGCAGCGCTAAAAAAACAAAAATACCTGTTGATTAACACTGCTTTCCAGTCACACAATAGTCTTCTATTGAATCTGAATTTGTATTCAAATTTGTCCCCAACACAAGTGATGTGCTAACAACAGTTCTTCCATACAGAGAAAAAAGACTGAATTCAGAGCCAAAACTTCCAAAAGGTAATCTCTATTGGAGAGTTACTTCACTGTAGTAACTTCTCTTCCTAGAGAATAAAAGGTTGTGTTCTGAAGAGCCAAAAAAAGCCCAGAAAAAAGTTAAAATATCTGTGATTATTTGCACTCACCAGGTGTTTGCACCACTGCTTGCAGATTCTTCTCCTGAAGCTGCTGAATTTTTTCAGTCTTGGCTTTGTTCTCTTTTTCCAGCATTTTGATTTTATGTACATATTGGTTATTCAGAAATTTCAAGTCAGACGTTTCATGTTCAACCCTCCTTAAGGAGACTTTCAAATCTTCAAGGGAGAGAAAAAGCAGTATTATCTTTCTCATTCATTATTATTTTTCCTAGTAGCATCAAGATAGGCATAAAGAGAATCCTACAGTCTTTTTCCATAACATGAAATTTTCAAATACACATACATATGTATATATGTATACACACACAAAAATATATATTTATACATATTATACAAATAATACCTCTTAGCAGAACAAAGGCACATCTAACAGCAGTATTTCATTTTGAATTAAAAAGTGGCATTTCAAGATATGAAAGCATATGTTAAAAAGTTCTAACATTTTCAAGGTCGATTAAAACAATTATTTGCAGGACCTCAGAAGCTTTTTAACTACAAAAGAAATGTCTGCGCATGAACCTTAATTCACTAAGGGCACCAAAGCCAATGACCACTCACACTGACTTATAAGTATAGATAAAAGAATCTGCAGATCAAGGATTTGGCTGTAATTTTATTTTGGCACAGAAGGATTAAAAAAAAAAAAAAAAAGTATCATGATCTTTATCTTACCTTTAACATGACGATCAGATTGCTCTTTCAGTTTTAATACTTCTAAATGTAATTCATTATTTTCCCTGGTAAGCCGCGTATTCTCTGTTTTATAAGGTTCCAAAATAGCATCATAATTGCTGCATTCTTTTTCAGTTTTTCCAGCAGATAACTTTGCACTGCGCAAGCTCTCAGTTGTATGAACTAGGTCACTGGAATAAGGGAGCATCAGACACATTAAAAACGTTATCAGCCTTTACACTGCAGATGCAAATATTAATAAATAAATAAAACTATAAATAATATAAGACTTGAGAAACAAAACCCTTTCCCTGAGACCATGCTAACTGTAGAACAAATGGGTTCAAAGAAAGGCAAAGAGAACGTTCATGTAACAAAAATGAAAGACAGGAATCCTTTACTTTAAAAAAGGAAGTAAGAAATGACAGGACAAATATAAAAAAATAACGGTATTCAGAAAGCATATCAGGAGTTTACATCTGATAATTCAATAAACTCACTTTTCTACACCAAGCGAGATATTCAAAATTGGCAAAATTATTTCTTTCCTCCAAGCACTACCTCAGTTACAGCACCACTTACCACAGAAGAAACTTGAAGTCAAGAATTAAAAAGGCCAGAAGGTTACTAGTATTTACATGGAGATCAGAAGCTCCATAAGAGAGATTAGTGGTAAACAGCTACAAACATTTTTGTGAAAATAATATCAAAGTCAGTGATTGAGAGATTAAACCTATTTGTTAGACACCAGAATGAGGCTTAATGTTGAAGGCAGATTACTCCACATCTGCCCACCTATGGTTCTTCCATCTGTATTAGATGCTGGAGAGCAACAGAACCAGAATACATATATTTGCATGTTCAGCCAAATATAACTGGATTACTATGGAAATTACTACATTTGTAATCATTGGATTACAAAAACTGGATTACTATGTCACAGCCATGAAATGGCAGCTATATTAAGAAGGTCAACTGAAAATTTTCTTGTTATGTGTCCTGTAAAAACTGCAGAGACAGCAAATTTAAACTTCTCCAAATGAGATCATAAAAAACAGAGCTGTGAATGTTTTAAGTCACAGTACAGACAACAGGGATTACTTTTTATATAACCAGTTATAAGAGTGTGTCCTTTAAGCACACATCAATAGTGACTATTCTTGGCCCTTACGAGCTTAGAAAAGTTGAATTTTCCTAGATCATAGGTCCTCAGAAACAATCCTACTGAATTAAACGAAACCTTAAAATGCTCTCATCACTTAAGCAAACGCATTTGACTTCATCATACACACAAACTGAATGTTAGCTCTGAGATAACAATGCTTGAAATTAATCTTCGGACTAAGCACCAAAAAAATCAAACAATACCTACAATACCATTACTATGGTTTGTAATGAACCTCCTTTTGAATACCTAAAAAGCTTTTCCACCAAAGGTAAACTCTCCACTCCCAACGGCTGCCGATAGCCCAGCTGATTTAGACGTTTCCTGAGATTAATGAACCTTCGCTCTGCAGTGGCAGTCATTGTAAACACCCCTCCAAAGCAGCTTTTGTCACAGTCAAGAAAAATAGGACACCTGCAAAAGATTGTCTGTTAGAGCATTTGTCCTTTAAAGAAGGATTAATATCAAAAAAAGTAATGGAAAAAAACTACTTTTTGTGTAGGAAATACAGTGCATAAGCATGTCCTTAAAATTTGGAAAACCAAGAGAATCATAGAGCAACTACAAAGTTTTAAACATATTTACATATTTCTTAAAAAAATTTGCCTTGGCAATTAGTTTTCTCTTTCCTAACATCTTAAGAGTATGAACATCAATTTTGCTTTCCAGTATGGAAGAACTGAACTTCAAAAAGATCTTTCTGTGGGAAGACTAAGAAGTAGGTTCTGATTTTTTTTGAATCATGGTCATCATGGTGCCTTCCCCAATGCAAAGTGACAGCTGACTCTCAAAAAACCCCGTATACTTTTTTCTTTCATATATAAATCTTACTTTCAAAGTTTGCAAGGCAGTACTTAACTTATGCCAGCCATTTGTGAAATTACATAAATGTGTAAAATTTTAAAGAGATTAATTTCTAACATCTTTTTTTTTCCTACAGGAAAACAGGGAAGAAAAAAAGCACTGGTGTACTGTAGTCCTACCCACATTGTTTTCTGGAAAATACAGTTCAAGGATCAGAGATATTTTTTTCTTTTGACTGATTAGTTATCTTTTTATTACTAACCTGATCTAAAAGAGGCTGCATCAGCACTACTGTATCTGAATCCAGAGGAGAATTTCAGTTTTGCCATGTACATTTGAAGAAAGAAGAATTTTTACATTGTTATGTCCTTCTGGACTTAGGGACGGAATGAGAAAAGAAATTGAATACTAGAGCTGATGCTCCTAAATATGTGAAAACATCTCTTCAATAGTTAGAAATATTTCTGAAAAATAGTTATTTCTGGAAAATATTTTCCTTCACATTTCTTCAAAAGTTTCAGTATTAACCTACCGGCTGCAAAGACCTCAGTAGCCACACTACCAATCCGAGGAAGCATCGTTTGCATCTCATATAAAGGGGACAGAACACAGATATCCTTTAAACTGTGCTGTTTCACAGTCCCTCAGATTTTAAAAGGATATTAAATAAATATATGCAGGTATTTAAAAATAAAATTATTTACAAAAATGAGAAAATATGCAAGTTTCTCTCATGTCTGCTGGAAAGTAAGATTTCATCTCATTGTATCAAAACACTACAAATAAGTCTAGCAACGGGACTGTGGTTGCCAGGTACTGCTTCACGGATGAGAGAAAATCACCAGTCTAACGAGCACAGCATCTGTTCCAATGACCAAAATGGAACATTGACACGAAAGATGGGCAATAATGGAACTTCAAATCCAGTTCCTTTAGGCTATAAGTATAGAATCATTTTGCATTAAATTGTGTGAAAGAAGCAGTGTTAATAGGTATTAGACTAACCGTTGCAGGTGGAATACGAAACAGAAAAGCTTTAGCACGTTGAAGCCCTCCTTTCAGTCTGAAAACAAGACAGGAAAATTCATGGTGAGTATAGATTAAGAACTGTTCCAGATGCAATACTTGTGTTATGAATAAGAAAATGTGGTAACAAAAAAGCAGAGCAAAGACATATCTTGGCCTTGGAAGATATAATTGGTCACTGAGCCACATGGAAGATAGATAAAACTACATAGCTGACAATGGAACACAGAAATTAGCACAGACAAATGTATATGCTATGAAACAAATTTCTTTATTGAGTCTACAACATTAACATCAAAGACAATTATGAACTGGAGTTGCCAGTCTCAGTTCTGGGAAATACCAAAATTCATTCTTCATTCATCAGAACTGACATGCTAAAGTTTTTGTGTGTGTGTGTGAAGTATGTTTACAAAACGGCTGTTGCTGTTCTGTTATTATTGGTCATATAGCTCATTCTGCTATAAAGGGCTAGTTTTGTTTTCACCCAGGTCAAAAGGGCACCTAGCGGACTACCATTTGACTATGGCAATGCTCTAACACATGCCCACAGACACGGAAGGCTGTGTTGTGAAACACTATCACTGCACCATCATTTTCAAGATGCACTGAATGAGCTTGACTAGTTTTGGCAAAGTCTGTTTCCAAGTTGATTTATTGAGAGTTCGCTTCTGACTAGATATTCATACGCCACATTTGCTATGAAGTGTTGCCACTTTACCGACTGAAAGATAACTCTTGGTCTAGAAAAACCAAGATTCCTTCTTTAAAGGAGGAGTCACCAAAACCTCTAAGTTTATATTAAAGCACAAGAAAACTCGTCTATAGATTATGAGCCTGCTCGTCACCTTTCAGCATCCCTTTATAAATAAATAAATAAATATAGATTTACGCCTCCATAGGGGCAACAGTCCCTTTTTAAACAGGTTTATTTCTACTCTTTCCACCCTCCCTCCGAGTCGGTCTTACCAGACATATAGTTACAAGCAAATTCTTGCCGGGCGAGCC